TACTCTCTCTCTCTCTCTCTCTCTCTCTCTCTCGCCCGCCACGCCCAGGGGAGACGGAGAAGGATGGCGAAGCGAAATGAACCGCATTTCTGCTTCGTACAAAGAATAGGGCGCACGTAAAAGCTTCAACTTGCTAAGAGTCGACTGACTCGAAAGGAAAGGAGGATTGTTTTCAGATTTAGTGGGAAGAGGAAACTTTGAGTCTGGACAGAGAGGCTAAGTAGATTCACTGTTTTCATGTTGTGTGCAGATTTGTGGCAGGTAAATGGACCTTTCCAGCTTTTCTTTAAACTTCTATTCCGTTCATATTCTTTTGCTGTCTTTCTTGCCGAAGACTTTTCATCAAAGGTCTCATAACAGGAAAGAACAAGAAATATATATATATATATATATATATATATGCTTATAGGAACATGTAGAAATTAATGTTGGTGCCATTTTGTTGCAGCGTTGGACAACATGGAATCTACTTTCATATCTCCAGTTGATATGATGGCTTCCTTGTTTTTTCTTAAAAAAGAGACATTAAATTAGAGGTATTTTTTTTTCATACTTTCCAAACAATATTTTTATTTTTTGTCATAATCTCTAAAACATCCTTCCTTAAGTTTATTCAAAAATATTATGATCATTCAAAACTCAATGTTAGCTTATATAAAAAAAAAAGATTATTATTCTTATTTACTTAGGAACAAAAAAAATCAATTAGAAGATATGAAGGGCATATTTAAGGATACAGTTCACATTCTATGGATCAATCCATCCATTAAAAATGACAAGACTGATTGTTATAGTTATGTCTTATTACAGATATTTTAGAAAATATGACAAAAATGGGTAGATTAAGAAGATATATTAAAATGATACCTATTGGGAAATAAAAATAAAAAATAACTTTTTTCTCAAAAATTCATCCCTTAAATTAAAACAGTTTATGGTAATGTCCTCTCTCTAAACTCGTCATGGTTGAGGTCGAAACAAGTTTCATCGAGAGTATCTACCATAGGTGCAATTTCCTACTCCTTAGTACCAAGGAGTACAAATGAACACGAAAACATTGAATGCACCCTTTTATGATAATTAAATCATTCACACGTATCAAGAGCATCTTCCCCACCAAGAGAAGCTTCCAACTCCGGGAATGAGTTTATAGATTCATTATAATGGCTAGATCTCGCTGTACGACTAATAAAACGGAGTCGTCTACAATCCTGCTTAAACTAAAGAGATTGGAAACTTGGAGCCCAAGCAGATGGGGCGGAGGTCAAACAAGACGACCATTTCGCCAATCATCGTGGCATTCGATCGCTTGATCCACCGATTTCTAGGTCCCACTGTTCTTGTTGATCCAACTTTGACTTATGCGAGCCCGAGGGATCTCCCCGAGCCTGCACCTCCTGCCTCAGCCTTCCCCTCTCGGCGACCGCAATCTGAGAGAGCCAAATGGGCGAACCGGTCGTTCTGCGTTGCTTCGGGTGACAGGTGGGGGGAGAAGTGGTTCTTCGATGTGAAGTCAGCTTGGACGTAACGAAGTGGAAATCTTGAACATCACAAGTTTTGAACATCTAAATCGAGTGAAGAGTTGACTTTACGCTAATTGCCTCTGTTCCTTTTTCTTCCCCCATTCGTGAGAGCACTTCTCCTGTTTCTTCATGTGCTTGGATCCCAATCTAAGGGAATCCGGAGCGTGGTGAACGTGAGAGGAACGACTCAGAAGCATTTATGCAGTGTTATATTGATTGCGTTGAATGTGGATGCACATGCAATCCAAAATAATATACAGTGCTTGGGGAATTCTGAACGAGCCGCCACTCTGCCGCTGTGATAATTCTCGCTTTTATTATCAACCAATCATGCCTTGTAAGATTTAGTACTTCAAAAAGTCAACTCCATGGGTGAAAGGGAGGAAACCTATCTCTTAATCGTCCATCCTGACCACTAACTATATCGAAACAGGGGAATTGTTGGGTGTAGCAGGTAACGCGTAGCCATCGACGTATGCTCCGAAGTCACGAACGAGGACAAGGACGACAATGTCTGATGATGGAGCTGCGTGAGGTGGGAAAAAGACTTTGGAATAAGTCATTACCTTCATGAGTGGCAACATCATTCGGACTGCGGGTTGGAGGAGGAATCGTTGTGGAGGCAAGACTACTCAAGGAACACTCCAATTCCAAACGACAAGGAAACATGCAGAGGGGCTAAGGGATATCATCCCTCGAGCGACAGACAGGTATATCCTTCTTCTCCCATCACCACACCAACCCACCCACAAGAAATGAGAGGTGGGTGTGAGAAAGGGAAATGAGATCGATGGATGGGAGCTACCATTCCATTCCTTATCATTATTCGATTTGAATTAGAATTGAATCGACTCGATTATTCATCGATTCTAAATCGAACTACAAGTAATTATTAATGATTCTTAAATCAAAAAATGATGATTCAAATCGGAAAATTTTAATTTTAATAAATTAAAATCATAGATTTGGGAACCAAAACCACCGTTGTAGAAATGGCAACAGGTCTTCTTCGTCAATGATTCCAAGTCCACGCTTAATGCTCTTAAAATTCCACTCGGTAGCGTCTCCTGAGAAGAAAGTGTTTACTCCTCTCCTCTCTCAGACTTGTCTCTCGGAACATAGCTTACGAGCTCGTGGAAGGGACGGTCAACCCACAGGCAGGCACATGCCGCCATGAGGAACGAAGGTTACTGGACGAAGCAGGACAGCTCATTGCGCCGGGTGGGTGGTTTCCTCTGTTTTGGTGCGTGGAATGCGATCCAATAAGGTTGCTTCACCGCAAACGTCTCTTGGATATGCTTTCCTTCAACACTGCCGTCCCATAATTTATCCTCTAGTAAAAGAACTGCAGGATCTTTCATCATTCAGATAAATGTAAACTGCTGGGCCATGCACCTGTTATGTCTAAGAAAAAGCTGACGCTTCTCCTGAGATTAGGTTCGCTATCGAGGAAGCATAAACAAATGAGCAGCCAATCTCAAGAAACCTTTTCAGTGTTTGATGTCAATTGGATGCTACATCTCTCGACATTAATGGCTTGGTCGAGGGCCCTGTCTTTGGTTACAAGTTCCAGATTGTGATTTCATAGCCGAACAAGATGACAAGAATGGCGTAGTACTTGCTACCTCATTAACTTAGCCAAACAAAGATTCAAACGGGAAAACCAACTCCACCATCATACAAAGGCCAAATACCACAGACAAAATTGACTGCATCTTGGAAAATGGCTGTGGTTAGCTGTCCACTATATACAATTGATAGTTGTTGCAGACTTTTCTTTCTTTCATTTTTTTCTTCTCTTCGATGTTGCAGGTGAAACGACAGCCTTTCTTTTAAATGACTTCACTCATTCTCTAGAAATCTTCGTTGACCAATTAAACAAGACAACTCATTCTTGTTCTGAACGCTTTCATTTACCTGGATCATCGAGTTTTGCTCTGAACACGATCCATATAAAGTCCAAATTTCCAGGGACTTTGGGGCAAAAGAAATGTAGAACGTGATCAGTGATGCTTGTGGTCATATATATAGCTTTTGAGAATGAATCATATAGTATACAAGTATGTATACTTTCAGACATAACTGGGTACATCAACTCCTGACCCAACAAATTGCAGATCATCGAATTAGTAGGCTGTCCCATAATCTTTGGGCGCATCATGACAATGGCTGCTCCATTGCGGGCCAGCTAGTCCTGATCGTCCACTTCATGGAAAGGCAGTGGAACTGTTTTAACAGCCCTGAATTTTCCAGCGTTATTAAGATGCTCATTTTCCAACCTGAAACATCGACAGATCTCACATTTAGGCTGATGCTATGCTTGATCTGCTCATAGAGGAATTGGAACATTGACAGCCTTTCCGGAGCTTGCAACTTCGCTAAGTAGTATAATTTTACGAACAAAAAGAGCAGTGCAAGTGCTGTGAGAGTCATTTACCTGTAGAAGTTCCAATGCCCTCGTCGAATCACCTCGAGGGCTGCCAAGAAGAACGAAGTCACTCTGTAGTCCAAACTCCCAAAATTGTAATGAAGAACTGTCTGTAACCAAGCAAGGCGAAGCACAAGGTTCAAACCCTGCAAAACAGAGCATCCAAGTTCATTTGCTTGATGAGAAAGGACTAAACTGAGGAAATGAGATATCTGATGCTCGACATGTTGTCAGTAGTATATCGATGGAGCCGACATACCATCGATAAGTAGTATACAAACTTCCGGCGAAGGATCAATTCATTCCTAAGCCATGGGTTGTTGGAATTAAATTGGAGCAGTCCCCAATCCTTAACAAAGTCCCAGTACAGTTGGTACACGGTAGCACCGCTCGACACAACCACAACAAGTGAAAGCCACCCCATCGTCTTCTCCTTCTCGTACGCCACTTTGGCACCAGCGGCAAGCATGGCAGAGACATACTTCCCCAGGTTGACCAGGTGGCTTGTCTCACCTTCGTCGAACCATCTTCTAGCACACTGCAAATCCAAAGCAGCGCATCTGTAACGTTTCCGGAGCGGAAGTGCAACATCATGCAGATGAACACAAAGAGGAGAGTGAGAAATACCTGCATGGCTCGCCAGTAGTACGGGAGAAAGGAGACAGCATAAGCCAAGTCTGCGTAGTGCTTGGATCTCATGCAGAGCCCATAATCTTGTGTTCTATAGCTGCCCGTTATGTAGTAACAAGCCACATACTCCATGCTTCTAAGCATCGGGACCTAGTTTTCAGCAACACAAATACTATACTTACTAGAAATATAAAGATTAACAGGTATCAAGATTTAGCTTGATCAATGAAAATGTTCTTCGCATTGCCAAGGAATAATTCTTTTTCATCAACTTTGGGATTAAAGAATCATTTTATTTTTTGTTTAATGTCTTTGCGGCAGTGTAATATGGTCACACACATCCAAATAATTCCGAGGAAAAAGTACCTGGCTGCAAAGCTGATCAGCCATGAAGAAGTCTACCATGACTACCTGCAAACATATCGAAGTAAAAAAACTAGATTAGACAGCGTAAGGAAGATCTAATTAGAGTCTATAATGGTCAACGGTAGAAAGGTACCTTGTATAAGGGGGACAAGATTATATTTCTGATTACTCTCAGGAAGTGGTAGCGGCTCGACTTGTAGATGATGTTGAAGGGGCAAACGAGCAATACCAAGAACATCTGTGACACAAGAATGCATCTTTTATATTCTAATATTCTTGCGTGGTGGAAAGAATATAACATATATGATGATGTCAAAATATTCTAGCAACTAATGGCAGTGGTTAGAGTGAAGATGGAGAGAATCCACTGGACCAACCAACGCTTGGTGATGCTCGAGCAGCAGTATGAGATTACCAGGAACAGGAGTCCAGGGATTGCTTGGACTTGGGTAGAAGAGTGGCCCCTTGCAACAAGGGTCAAGTGTGCAAACATGACTCCCACCACTAGAGTCATCGATGTGGTGCAGATCAGGAAAACATCCCTGTACTTGAGCTCTTTGGTTGGGGCAAATTCGAATATGAAGGCGTAATTGATGCGTGTCTTTCTCCACATGAAGATGTTGCACCCGTAGAGGAACAAGTGTAGGAACAAGAGGCTAAACATGCTGCAATTGGTAGATCGCTGCGATGTTAGTGCCATGTTGCATGAGCAGATCGCCCTAAACTTTGATTGCAATACTTACCTTAGGACGGGGTACACGGTTTCCATGTAGATAGTGTCAGATTGCCCTGTGTACATACCAGCTATGTGCGCCATTATGCAATATCCAATGAACAAAGCAATGAAAGTTCCAGTAAAGAGACCTGATCCAGAATATTATAGATCCATTATCGATGATGGCATGAAACAGTTGAATCCAGAAGAGGGTTAAGGATTAGATTAATCACCAATGAAGAAGGTGACGGCATGGGACTCTACACGCTGGTGAGGCTTGAGGTACTTCATGGCCTTCCGCTTATCATCATCAGCGAAGTGTTCGATGAAGAGTTCTTCAACTTCATCCATCAACTTCATTGCCTGTTGTTGTTATGGAGCATTTTGAACTAAGATACTTTTTCTGCATATTGTATATGAAGAATTTGATTGTGGAAGAGAGAGAGAGAGAGACAGAGAGAGAGAGACAGCGAGGGATGATACCATGTCTGAACTATTGAAGTAGGAGCTCTCAACCACTTTGAGGTATATTGTCAGGATTTGCTTTCCCGTCACCTGAAAGAGAAGTATCCATACGGCCCTCAGAGTTTAGCTTTCCCAAATGCTTAGCAAAGAGATAAAAATAGCTTCAGCGATCAATACCTTGTCGAACTTCTTTAGAATCTTCACAAACGCCAACATGTTTAGATTTCTGAAATAAGAGATCAGGGCAGACGGAAGCATAAGAATCTGCACGGTTTAGCTGCATGTAACTGTAATAATACTTCCAATCACACAATTTGAAGCCTGTTCACAGAAGAAGTAGAGCGAAAACACTCACCGGTAGGTTTGGAGGTAACCCAACCCTTTGTAGAGCTCGACGAAGGCTCCCCTGATCATTTTCTCCGCATGGTGTAGCTTGGTCTTGTTGATGTTGAGCTTGCCGCCCTGTGTTCCGCATTTCCTGGACTGGCTACCCAAGTCCTCACGGAATAAGTCTGTGAGGGCAGAGAGAGTCCTGGAAGGTGTAGTCAGAGGTATCTTGATCTTGAGGTTCTTGCCCTGGCAGCTAAATACTCTGCCAGAGAGACTCCTCAGTTTCCCGTCCCCGGATGGGGCCTTCACCAGCTTCCCCGAGTCATCTTGTCCCTGAGGACAGTCAGAAAATTGGAACTCGCTCCTTTCGAGTTCAGTGGTTAGGATCTCTTGGGACTGGTCTCGTTCCTCTGGGTCTACAGTACCCTTGGTAGAATCTTCTTCTGTGGACAAACGAGGAGGAGATCCGTAAGAACTCTGAGATATCGTCGTTAATAAATCGCTAAACAGAGAAATCACCCAGGCTTTTTACTGCACACCATTACCAACTCTAGAAATGCAGCAATGGTGGATGCTACGCTAGATCACAGGAGCATTACACCTCCATCGGGGGTTTTACTCTTCGTAGATCTTTTTTGTCAGGTTACCGAAAAATGAAATCTTAGATATATCATGTCGACTCCCGAGCTAGTATTGGCATTATTTTTAGTTAGCAAAGGGCAAATGGAGTACTTCCTACACTATCTTAAGGAAATGTTCTTGTCACTACGTCGGTATAACCTTCTCTAGTCTTAAGCTGGTTTATACGGAGGACTCAGGATTCACTGAAATTTGTGTAGTCCTCCCCTGATATTGGAATCAGTGGATTGTTTATGCATCCGAACGAGTAGTTTCCTTTTCAACGACCAAATTCCTTGCAAGAGAAAAATGGAGTTCGTACCGCATGTGATCGAACAAGATATGGAAGGGTCATCCTTGGCGTCGTTGGTTGACGAGGCCCACCCTCGCTGCTTCTTGAGTGCAGCCTTAAGCTCGAGCAGGATCTCCATCTGCTTCTTCAGAGACCCTCCTCTCTCCAGAAACTCCTTCTCCTTGCCCTTGTAGAACTGATTCACTTTGTTGAGCTGAAGGTCAAGTCTCGCAAAGAACTCCTTGGCTGCATCAGTGTCAGCAAATTGCTCTAACAACTCAGTCTCGTACAACACTCCCCTGCTACCTGAGCTGGTGAGCTTCTTGTGAACCTGAAATATTCGAAGGAACAAAATATCAAAAGCAATGAAACGTATCACCCAATCCCTCGTTTTTATTTTCTTAGGAGTGTGGGAGAAGGTCATCGTCGATGCTCATAGTGCGATTGTCGCTAATGATGGTTAGCATATATACTTCAGATATATCTGCCAAATAACTGAAACAGAGGACAACAACAAGCAGAGGGTTGCCAGTGCCTCGTGTTCATGAAACATGATCCTAAACACCCTTAAATTTCCGTGGCTTGATGGGACAAAGTGAGTGCTAGTGGAGCTGCGCATAATGGCATGCATGGCAGATCGCGCACTTAGCGAAGGGAGAATAAATGCAAGAAAGAGAGAAGTGCCTGTATGATTTCACGCTCCTTGTGTCCAATGGAATCAAAGAGTGGGAGCCTTCTCAAGGAGGATAGCAGTCTTCGGCCCAAAGGAGGTTGTAGTGTCATGTTCTTAGGGACTTGGTTGTTACTAAGGACTTGCATTCTCTTAAGGTCCTTCTTCAGCTGCCAGTAATCAACGAAGGCCTCCTTCCATTCCGGAACGAGCTGGCCTTCGAATTGCTTTGAGAATTTCACCATGTCTGCTTCTACTCGGTTCCTCCTCTCAGGATGGTGGAGTAGAGCGTCTCCGGATGGGTGTTGGAAGTGAGACCGGCGATGGATATATATATTTGAAGGGAGGGGACAAGGCATCACTTGCTGGCGTTGGAGACAGCACATTCTAAGATATCCTACGTATACGGCTCGTGTTAATGTACCGAGCACCTCGTTCCACTTGGGGTCATAATGGTGGCAGGGATTCTCCAGGGTGAAGAAGAAGAAGAGAGGGAGGAGAGATGGAGTAGTACGGAGGAGAGACAGGTGGGTGCGAAAAACAGTGGGAGGATTTAGGAAGTGGGCGAGGGGTCCTACAACAGGGGCGAGGTGGGACCAGCATTGGTTTGGTGCTGGAGTGTCACCTCAACTTGGTGCCCTCGAGGTGTGGTTCACTTTGCCACCTTTGCAGTTATGGGGAATTAAGGTGACTTTTTGCGCTTTAAATGGCCATATAGCTTACTGGTATATATGCTCGAGTTTTTCCCTTGTATCCACATTGTGTACGCCAAGTTAGTAATGCAAGGAAACTCCATCTTGATCGCTCTTGCTCAGCCACAGAAGTCGTCTGCATCAATCATCACAGGAGGAGGATCAGCTAAAACCTAACCAAACTTTTACCACTCGAAAGACATTATTAATGGCTGTCAAACGTTTGTCGATGCATGCCACCTCCTCCTGCTTTTACGACTCTCAGGCAAACCGACACTGGTGGCGGTGATCGTAGAGATTCTGCCGCAAGGTTTTCTTTTGTTAGGTGTCTAATAATACTCCAGTTTCGGTCAGATGCAAGAACGGTGTAATTAAGGGTTCAACTCGTCTCCAGTAAGAAGGAAAATTAGTCAGCCTTGACATCTGATGTACGGATTGTTCAGTAAAAGAGATTTGATATATTTACGAGCAAGATGCTAGAAATGACTGTTACCTAACTCTACTCTTGACAGTGTCGTACCGATCATTTTTAGGGGTAAACAAAGAAAAGAAGAAGAAGAAGATGCTTCTTATTTCACTAAAAAGGATGCAGAAGGTGCCATGGTCAACAAAGTAAATGCTGGGGTTTTGCTTTTACTGTAACAAAAGGGATGCAGATGCATGAAAAATCAAATGTGTTCAGGAGGTAGGCTTTTCATTAGATCGGCTGAGTGGGCATCGTCACAAGGATAAAGAGAACCTTCAAACAATTATTGGATTTAGTGGAAAAGTGAGAACTCTTATTTCCTTGGTTACGTGGATCATCTAAATCCCAAGTATATGTCTCGATGCCATCGTCCATCTACGCACCTTTCAACGAAGCACCTAATCCAGTTATCCATTTGTGCTTGGATATTTATATATACATACCTTTTTTATCGGACTTTGTCTACCAAAAGGACGCAAGCCGATGCTACTTCTATCTTCGATTTAGAATTGGAAAAATGGTATATATCCAAAGGTAGAATCATGTTAGACTCATGCCCGGGATAAGAATTCAGTGAGGAAGAGAAAGGGAAAGTTGACATTGTGCATGCTGACTTTACGCTTGCCGATTCAGGTCATTCAGCATGGAAAGACCAGCCATGAAAAATAAGATATCGCGAGCAATGCAATTTTTCGTACGCCCATTGTCTAGAGAGAAAGCAAGTGTAATGGCTGTCCTTGTGCTTTGCTATCTTCTGAGACCATAATGTTGTAGTTGAACACTGGCTATGCTTTCTCTCACTTTCTTTTAACTTTATCTTAAAAGATCTTGGTACATATCTTCGGCTTTTCTTGTGGTCATAAAAATAGCAGACACTCAATCCATGATATGGCCAACTACATCGACTGCACTGAGTTAATTTGGCACCTATGAAAGGACCTTTTACTCTTGGGAAACTTCAGATCACTGTTTCTCCTACCTTGGCTATACATCTCTCACATCTAAGAGATTTTGTTTAGCTGCACATTGCTTGGTGAGCCACATCTTAATTATTCTGGCTGTATCCTGTAGAACTTTTCCGTAGCTGCTTTAAAAAGGAACATCATAATATATTGTAAGGACCAACGGGAGAAACCAGCCTGATTGGGTAGTCCCTTGTGTTTCCAGAACCAATGACAAGCAGTGCAAATGGTGGCCTGAGTTGGACTGCAATACCCATCACTCTTTACTTTTCCTTCTCATCATCTCCGTATCAGCTTGGTAGATAGTTCTTCTTTTTCAACTTCCTACTTAAGAATTTCCTATTTTCCATTTGGAACTCTGGCCGAGGAGTCACATATTGGAATTGACATCTTGGAAGCCCATTGCTAATGGTTGCAGTCTAATGGACGCAAAAAGACATCGACTTCCCTGAAGTCCAGAGTGAGGAGAGAGAGAGAGAGAGAGAGAGAGAAGACATGGCTTTGACAGGCAAGCTTATGTGCTCCTTGTGTGTGTTGTCAGAAGCCTTTTGCTCGGACAAGATTATAATCTGTGGCTTTGCGTGTCCTTATTTCAGGGTTTTAAGCTACGGCTTAATGTTTGTGTTTGACACACCCATCGTGTTCCCCAAGTGCGGGCACATTAATAATGTGATGTACGTAACTATCACCCGCGTTCTGCAACACCAACTCCGTCGTGCTTCTTCTTCCATGGAATTATGAAGCAGTGACACCAAAGAACAGCTGTTTGACATGCCACCTGGAAATCCAAAACCCCAGTTGATCATTTATTTGTCTTGCCCATCGGCATGCCTGCACACATCCATATGTCCTCTTGCTAAAGCTACAAAAAAAATTCTTCTTTCCCTCAACCCAACCCAATCAGTAGTATATACTTTGGAACTCCGGAGGTAAGGGATGCAAGTTGGGGTGGGTATATGATTCGCCAAGCGATAGGGATTCCCAACAGTGCCCTTTACAAACTGAAGGAACCATGCCAGAAGCTAAAGGAAATCCAACATGAGCGTCCTCAGACATAAAGTAGGTCCTAATCCTAATCCACCATACCTATAGCTTCTCTTTCTGCAGCGCATCCTAATCTCTGCATCTCTAGCAATCAAATAATAGCAAAGCATATACTCCGAAGTGCCAATGTTTTGATATCACGTTGCATTCTTGAGGTACTTACGTTCTCTTTACACCGGTATCAAGCTTGCAGGCACCCTACTTTTTTGCCCAGTGTTCCTCCTCCGCATCTTTCAGGTGCGTCTGTGGCCATCACTGAAGCACTCAGGCACACATGAGTACGCTTTGATCAGTGATTCCGATGCCTGGAATCGACGGGTGACCTCAAATGTGCTAGAAAGATTAGGCCCGAAGAATTCTACACACAGATTGACACCCCGAATTGCTTGTTCAAGAAGTTCTTCTCGATGCATTATTTATTAGATAGCCATTCGTTCCACCGGGAGCCATTTTCCACTGCCAAGATCTCCTTTTGCTTGGTCTTGTGCCACAAAATATTCAGGTTCTTATACTTACGTTTATTCCTCTATAGAAGAGTGGTGTTTAGGTACAGTGGATGATTGGATATACCAATGGATAAACTCGTTCCTACCCGTCAATGTAGATAGTGGACACAAACATATATGTATATATGTCAGTCGAACAAAGACGATCGAGTAATGGTCAGCGCCTGCTCTTCTTGAATACATGAAACACGTGCCATATCTCTTGGCATTTTTACTCTGCTAGATCGCATGCATCTGCCTATAAATCTATCCAAAGCCTTTTGATCGCATGAGAACTTTGAGCATCCCATGTGATGTTCGATTAAGATAGCATGCATCTCCAATACGTCATATCCACGAAGCTTCCGATTATTCATACCGAGATGCAAGCAATTATCATGCATGCTCACGTACGTGAGAAAGGGACCGATGCTCAGATTTCTAAGTTGATCCCGACTGAGATATCTCATCTAATTAGATAAAATATATTATATTTTTTATTATAATTGTTAATTAATAAAAAAATATTATATAACTTTTTTGAGATGATATTGATGGCAGAGACTCATCTAATTACGTATACTAGATCGTCTACTCTTGACTATAAATAAATATAATATTCTAAGGACTCAATACATGTGTAATAACATAATAATATATGAGATTATAAATTTATTTTCATATTTTTTTAGTTTCTATTACATCACAGTAGTTATGTGAAGGATATAAAGAAAAAAAGAAAACTTAATTCATTTTGCAAATATGTACCATTGCTACTTGTGAATCAGATTATGAAGCATGATCTCATATCAAAAGATTTTTTTTGAATCGCGTCGTACACCTAATACCAATTAGTTTAGCCCAATTTGGAATGCTCAATTAAATAAGATTGATTGGCCCATTTAGATTATTTATAAAATTAGAAAACATAAGTTATAATTTTCTTTTTAGTTTTCTTATATGACATATTAATTTTTTTTTACTTATGGTACTTAAATTCAATTATAGTTATTGGATATTTATATAGTTATTCATATATATATATATATATATATATATATATATATATATATATATATATATATATATA